ACTTTGGACACTTTTGAACCCATTCTGACCACCATTAACCCTATCCGCCATTTAAGAGTTTTTCCCGCAAAAAGGGGGTTGCCGAACCACTGTGGGGGGGGGGGCGAGCGAACGGCCGGCCGGCCGGTGGCCTGCGCTGTGCAAGCATTATTGGGTTCCTGAGGACGTACATAGACGAGGGCGCGCAGGCCCAACGACGAACGCCCTTGGCCTAGGTCGGGAACTTTAAAGTTCTTTTTATCGGTAGATAATGTACCAGGTGGCTGACTAACTCCGCTCACGTTTGTACTTTGTAACCCGCCCGCATGGGCACAGCTCTAATTAGAGCGACCAGGCTTCACTCCGCCGCTGTTATTTCACCTGCTTGTTGTTTCCCACTACCCCCCTCACCCTTTTTCAGTCGATTTAGAAGGCGTTTCCGGTTGTTTTCAGGGAGTTCTCCGATCGCCCTATCGCCCTCCAGGCAGAACCACGACCCTCCTCTTCTGCAACGACGGAGGAGAATGTTGCTGTAGGAGACGCTTACCTTCTTGTCACAATCATAGGTAAAAGCTGCTCTACTTGGATATTCTTATTTTGACAGTGCATTTAAAATTTCCTATCAAAAATATATTTAATGTTTGTTACAGAATGAAGGATAAGAATTGTGGATTGGAGCCAAATAAAGTTCTGTCTTCACTGACTGATTGAGGTATATTTTTTTCTTTCAAGTGTTGTAATTTTTGGATGAGTAATACAAGTGGATAATATTAATTCTTTCCCTGATCATCCCAAGATTTCAGATCTGGTCACCGATTTTAGTTTTTGTCTCGATAATAGATGGTAGTATATGAACCCACACCAAATCTGGGCTCTGTAGGTCAAATGGCTTTGGAGTGAAGTGAAAATTAATTACTTGTAAAGGTAAAACTAGTTGGGCAAAACAGAAACCCCTAAAAAATAACCACAGTGAACATATCACATCAAGAACTCCTCATAATTGTATGATTTCTTCCTCTAAGGTAGACCTTACGGTGGTTTTGGAAATTTTGTGGTTACTCATCTTTGAGTGGTTCAAGGCAATCTGGAAAACCATACCTCCCAAACCTTTTGAGGGTCCGGTTTGATGAGGATTCTTATTTCATTAGTACCTTTCATTTTTGAGACAAACCAAAATCTGTGACCAGATCTGATATGTTGGGATGATCAGTGAAAGGGATTAATCATATTCAGTAACTTAGTGCTGCATATTGTTAAGCTGTACATAACTCAATTACTTTTAGTCAATCAGGAAGCTTGCAAATGTATTTGACATCAAGTACGCACTTCACAA